CTGCCTGTGCAGCACTCTCTGGAGATCCCATTTCTCTTGCAGGCGTTCAGCCCATGGTGCATCACAAAAAAATATCCCCAGCGGAGTGAATGATGCCAGTAAGAGTCTTGCCTTTCCTCCATCTCCCAGGGCTACTTTCTGCCTTGGCTACGAGCCTGCTGCATCTTTGTGTGGTTAATAAAAATAACCTAAAAGTACTCAGGAGCAGACAGAGCAATCCCAGAGACTCCAAACATCTAAGGGGCTTTGTTTCCAAGGCAACATCTTGTCTCCTAGCTGCAAAAGGCCACGGGAATGAAGGCAGCCTATGGAAAATGAATAGCTAAATGACAACAACAACAAAAAAAATCTGCTGGGGAGCGTTTCAGAGAGGGAGGGGTGTTCATAGGGGGGCCAGGAAAGAGCGAAGCTGAACAAACCAGGAGTAGCTGCATAGAGCATGCAAACGGACAGGGTGCAATTTATCTCATGAGAAGCTCAGTCCTGCCCCCATTGAAATGCAGAGCACCACTTCCACAGACTAAATGGGAGCAGGGGAGCTTGCACAAATCAGCTATTCTTTTCTTTCCCCCCTTTTTTAAGCTACAGTGTTTGAAGATTGGAGCTAGTTAAAAATAATCCATTGTCCAAGGCAGAGACTTTCCCGGTCCCAGGAGCTCCCAGCCAGGGCTGCAGCTCACTATTGATTTTGGCCACCCCAGTTTCCCACTGCCACAGCTGCCTCCTCCCTCCACAGCCCAGGGCAATGAGGCAGGTGGGAGGTGCCAGAGCACCAGAGCATCCCTCCAGCTCTTCCAGGAAAGAAACATGTTTTCACCCATTTCCCCAGGTTTCCAGAGCTGTGTGGTGTGTTAATATCTGTGCGCAGTCCAAGCTGTAGTCAGTTCTTTCACTATGGCTGCAAGCATGGCTTTGCTCTTATGGCCTTTTGAGCCAACTGCCCAGATAGCAGACTTGGAGCATCAGGCATGGGGAAAGCACAGATGCCTCTGCCCCCCATGTCCCACCCATGACACCCATGGCCCCTGTCTGACACCATCCTCCCTTGATAAGGGCAGGCAGGCAAGTCTGGGGCTCCACCATGGTACATCTAATGTGCAAGCTTCCCTTAAGTGACTGCTGCAGTCAAATGCCCCTGGGATCATTTATGGGATTGATATCAGACAGGGAGGGGAGAGGCTCCCCAGCACCAGCCGAGACGCCTGCCTGCAGATGCGCTGCTCCTGTCTTTCCTCTCCTGCGGGTCTCCTGGGAATGCCTAAAAGCTGAGCATCATGATGCCAAGTGAGATGCCAGAGCTTTTCCTCTGTGTCTCAGGAGGTGGCACGGATGCCCTGGGAACATGACAGGCATTGGGGTCAGGAGCTCCTCTGAGCTGGCTCTCAAGTCCTCAGCTTCCCAACCTACACAGAGCTCCACCATGCCTGAAGTGGGCTCCTGACACAGCAAGGGGAGGAGGAGGAGGACGTCTGGGAATTTCTGTGGGGTGGCCAGGAGGGATTTAGTGTGTGGTGGTGCTGGTCTCTGCCCTGGGCTGGAGTCAGCCTTGGGCTCAAGCTCTCCCTCTCCTTTCCTCAGAGACTCTTTGGGATGATGAACAACTCAGCCATTGATGTCCTGCCTGATGTTAAAACATTTTATTTAACTAATGTTTTTTCTTTGTACCTTCTCTCAATCAATACCATGTGAGCTAGAGGTTCCCAGAGGGAACCTGATAGGAAAATGCTCACCTCACACTTTTTTTTCACACCCTGTGCTGTAGGCAGAGCCAATCCATCCACATGGATGGATGGATGACTGCTATTTATTATTCATCTTGGTATGCAGAGCAGAGCCTCTGTCTGAGCAAGTTTTGAGATGATGAGGTTTGCTTCTCACTCCTCCTCCTTGAAATGGTTTTAAATTTAGCTTAACTTCAGGGAATTCCTCTGAAATTTCCCTGGAGAAGCAAGGCTGGAATTTGGTCCTTATAGGTCTGCCCAGAGCTGAAGGGCTGCCATGGGAAACCTGCCTGCAGGGAAATAGAGCTGGCCTGTCTGCTGTCACCACCACTCCTGATGGGCAGTGCTGGTGTGTCACCCTCCCTGACTCCTGGAGAGCAGTTGGGTACATGCAGTGCAGGGCCAGGAAGCACAGGTTGCTGGAAAAGTGGGGGACAACCAGTTTGACCAGCCATTCTGTTCCCCCTCTTCCCAGGGGACATTCAGTAGGGGAAAACCTGGGCAACAGGGAACTCCTGGGGCTTTAGGATGGACCAGTAGGGAAGAGACTTGATTAAAGAATGGGGAGAGCATGGGACTTGGATGTTTTTATCAAAACCACCACAGCCATTTTACCTTCTTGTCCCCATTTCATCCTTCTTGCAAGTACCACTGAAAGTATTGTGCACTTAATAATTTTCTATCCTAAACTCCTTTGCTGTATTCCTGATCACCTTCCACTGCCATAACTTCCATCCCTACATGTCTGAACTTCTCTTCTACATGAAATGATTCCTACAGATCACACTGAGTTTTCACTCGCAAATACTCTTGGACCACTTTCAAGGCACTCACCCCCACTTAACCATGATACAAATTGTGTGGTACTCTCTGTACAACTGGTTGTCAAAATAGTTCAAAATATTAATACAGGAGCTGGGATTTTCCAAGGTACTTGGTATTGACCTAACCTGATTCACACTGGGCTTGACTGTAAATTGTTAGCAACAGGGAATGATGAATGTTCCTGAAAATCCCATTGCTTGGACATAATGATACAGAAAATAGACTTTGCAAAATACATTATTATTGGCTTGTTAAAAATTCTCACCTAGATGTCTTTAAAAATGCATCTGCTCAGGTTGTTAATGGCATTTGCATGGACAGTCTTGTCATTATGTCTTAATAAATAGTATTGATTTATACTATAATAAATTTATAGAATAAGAGCTAAAATATAGGCAGCTGGGTGGCTGTATTATACTTCTTTGGAGTATTTGCTGGCAAAGTCTCGTGTTTTGGTTTTTCAGAGGACTGAACAGGAACAATACACCTGTTACCCTTGGTCCTAACATGACCAAGTGATAAGCATCTGTTGAGCAGTCAAGGCACTCCAACCCCCTCCTAAAAACCTGCCTGCCTCTTCATTTTCTGTGTCACCCTTTTGCTTCAGGTAGCTTAGCTCAATGACTTGGGCTCAACAGACACACAGGCTGGCTTCCAGACCCTCAGCTAGGGATAGACAATACATGCTTATATCTTCTCCACAGATAAAAACTGTCAAGCTTTCAACTTGCCTTTGAGCTGGTATCTTCAGAGTAATAGGTCAAGCTGGAAATGCATTTCCAGCCCCTGTCTGCTTACCAGAAGCAAGCTCTCCTTCGCTCCTTGCCGCTCCTTGTGAGCCACAGCACTCAGCAATGAGGCCATTGATGGAGCAATGGTATGTTCTTTTGTCCCTGCCAAAACCCTGCTCCCTCCTATTCAACTCAACAAGATGTGAAGCCCTGGTGCTGCCAAGTGTCTTTTCAGCTGCCAAAGGAAAAGGAGCTAATCAAACAAGGAAAAGAGCCCAAGTACCAGGCTCCATTCCCAGCTCAAAGCCCGTGGATACAATACCCACCAGCTGGACTGGTCGGCTCCCAGCAGCTCCTGTTCTGCCGGTCCTGGGGTGAGAGCTGTGGGCTCTGCTGCTCCCGGTCCGCATTACTGCTGCCTCAGTTAGCCCGTGTTGGAGAGCTGCTGCACTGATCCCTCTCAAGGCACACCACAGCCTGTACTTGTTAGTCCTTTAGTTTTTTTTTTTAATTCAGTTCTGCGATGCCAGCTTCCTATCTCTCCCCTCCTTATTTCCCACACAAGGAGAAAAGCCTCATGCTGTGCCTTTCATGTCCCTTGGTCTGTCAGTGGACAGCACCTTTGAAGTCATCTTTCTGGCCTCTGTTTCAAACCCTGAAACTCAAATATTTTCTCAGTAAAAAATGGGAGGAGACTGCTGGTTTTCAGTATCAGTATTTGAAACAGGATATGGGTTGTTCTCCCGTAGTGCTGCTCGGCCAGTGATGCTCACAGAGCTGGCTGGGCAGCAGCCGTCAGCCGGCACCGCTGTATTGGGTCTGCTGCTGCTCCACATCGAGTTGCACCAGATGAGGATGGGGTTTGTTTTCGGTTGCATCCTGATCTGCTTCTCTACAACATTCTCCCATCTCTTCATTTTTAGTACTGACATTAAGTATTTAGAGCATAAAATGACTAATTTGCTTCTGCAGCCGCTATGTTTTGAGGCCGTTTGGGAATCGCTGAAGTTATTTGCTACCTACAGCCCAGTGAGTTTCCTAAAGGGATCATACGTTTCCATACTTTTTCCTTCCAGCTGCTTATTTACCACGGAGCCACCACTGTGACAATGACTGGGGCAGCCTCTGCTGAGGTTAAATGTAGAGGTTATTGAACAGCCTGCTTACCACACATAACAGTTTAGGATGGGAGGTGAAAATGCTGCTTTGCCAAATGAGTAACACCAAGTTATCTGTTTTAGCTGGAGCTGCTCCAGTGCTTTTGGCATTTCTAGAGCTGATGGACACCGCAAAGAATATTTAAGGAGACAAAAAGTAATCTGCATGCTTTGGAGGCTGGCCACAGTGTCACTGTACATGCCTCTCTGCTCTTCTAAAAACTGCCACAGGCCCTTCAAAGGTCATGAGCGCTCAGTTGTTCGAGGTCACATCTCTCCTGCCAACATGGGGCCCCTCACATTGAAGGGAGAAGCAGGCCAGCTCTGAGGTGGAGAAAGATGCAGTATGCTCGTCAGACTGCATCCCTCCTCTGATGCTCTCCTCCCTCACTGGAAAGTCTGCCTGAGCAATCTATCCTTGGGTGCACTGATCCTGGCTTGGCCAGAGTCTCTGGAGGAGGGGGCAGCCTTAGCACTGCCATTCCAAACCATTCCAGGCTGGTGATGTCACTGACACAGCGCTTGTGAGACAGGGAACAGTGCCACGTGGCTGAGCTGGTGAGCAGCACAGTGCTCCCCAAACCCAGACACAGCCAATCCACACAGGACTGCTCAGTGTCAGCAATGGTGCTGGTGCCATATCAGGGAGGGGTCAGCAAAGCCACTCCTGATGGACCTTTGACTGCTCATGCTGAATCCTGTCGCATGGCTACCCTGCACGTCACTCATCACAGCACCAAGGTACTGGGTCTTTGATGACCTTGCCCTGCTGTGATGTGAAGGTGGCACAGGAGCTTTCCAGCAGCTCTGTTCTCAGCCTCAACATGGAGGTGAAGTTGGGGACATGCCACTTGTGGGCCCATGCTCCCTTCCATCACAGCCCATGATCTTCACACTGCAGACAGGCCCTTGTCACCTGTGTTTTGGCTCATTCTTTAACTCCAGGAAAACCTCTTCTGCTCTCTGGCTGGGCTAGGCATGGTCTGGCTGCATCTGTAGTTAATGCCTGCTGTGGGCCCAAGACATAAGCCTGGAGCCTTTCTTTAGAGGCATAACTGAAGGGGTCATAGTCTACAGCGATATAGTCTACAGGCATAGTCTACAGGCAATATTTTGTCAACCCAACTGTTTATGTCCATTGTCGTCGGTGCCGTGAGTCTTGCCTCCAACACTCACCTGTGAGCTCTGATGCTGCTGGATTAGGGATAACAAACTCCTAAGGAATGGTGTTTTGCAGGGAACATCCTTCTGAGCTGCAGTGTCAGGTGCTGGTGCCCTTCTCTGTATGATATCTGTGCCCTGGACAAAGCTTTGCTTGCTCCATGGGAGCGCTGTCTCCTCACCTTTGGCCATGCTACCTTCACCTGCCCATCCAAAACCAAACCAGAGTTTGTGTTGTGGCATCTTACCTGCTTTCACTGCACTCCAGCAAGTTTTCTTTCTCTTCTTCATTTCTATGAGAAGCTGTAGAAAGCCTGCTCCAGCATTAGGGCCTTGTCAAACAAGTGAGTAACACCCATGCATGACCCACCCCATCAAACTTCCCATCCCACTGCTCCGGGCCAGCCTGATGGACTCATAACCTCACAAGCTTTTCCATTTTAATGTGAATGGTCCTCGTCCCCCAGCTGGGGTAATGAACACTGGAGGGAATTTTCTGTGTTCGTAAATATTTCCCTGCTACTGTGAAGAGGCTGTTTTTTCCATTCTTCATATCAGATGAAGATAGCTGTTCTGCCAGCTCACCATGTAAATTTAATAGCATTCCAAAACCTCTGTCCTACATAAATATGAATGCATTTCATCCAAGAGGAACCTGTTATTGAAGGAGCTGCATTGCTAAATCATTCAGAAGGTTATTGTTTGAAGTACTTGCAGTCAACAGTGTCTTGGTGATTACAGCTCAAAAAGGGAGGGAGGGTGGAGGAGAAGAATGAGTGGGGATCATGGAAACCTCTTTAAATGAGGGAGCTTGTGTACCGAGATCATCAAGGTATAAGCAGGGCATTGCCAACCAGCAGGTCTGGCCCCAGGAGGATGGGCCATCTGCAAGCAGCTCGACAAATTATTCACTGGCAATTGCTTTCTTGCTGCTGCCCTGACTTATTTACACTCCAAAAGATTTATGAAGTATGTTTATTTAAGAAAGATAAATCCAGAGGCTCTAGAAGGGGAGAGGAGCTTTCCAAAGGAATCAGGCCCTGGCACAACACAATTCATTTCACTCATTAACCCCTCCTCACAAGGAACACACTAAGTGCTTATGCATTATGCATCATCAGGAAATTCTGATTTGATGGAGACTGAAGGTTAAAAGGCATTTCTGTGCTTTTCCTTGCTCCTCATTGTCATGCTGGAAGATGGAGAGATATTGTGGAGGTGGGGAAAACTGGGGGAGTGAGAGCCCCTGTACCCTGACACTGAGTGCCACAGTGCAGATGGGAAAAGCTTCACGGTCACGGAAGGACATGTGCTCCCCTCATGTTAATGTCTCTTACTGAATTCAAACATTTCCACCCTCTTTAGCAAATTCCCTATTTTCTCTGAACAGTTTTGTGTCATCAGTACACAAACCCACCCAAATCCTCACCTTCAGCCCTGTTAAGAAACACAGTTCTGGGTGCTGCAAGAACTTGGAGAAGGCACAAGGTCCAAACAGAGACCTTATTCTGGCACCACACCTTCCTAAGTTTGTAAACCAGCAGCTGACAGACCTCAGAGTTTCTAAGCTGATTTCAGTCATTTAATTGATGATGCAACTGTAGATATTGATATCTCTGTCCTTTTTATTGATTCATCTGTTCCTCAAGCAGATGTTTAAAATTAATTTGCTTTTTTACACCTGCAAGTTGCAAGTGTATTTTAAGATGTCAGTCCAATCTTTTGGAGGGTATGTTTATCTGCCTGTAACAAGCTGGGTGTATATCACAGGTAGCTGTAAGGGATAAAAGCTTTTATACCCTGCAAAAGTGTGCTTTGGGAGCATGTGTCTCACAAACAGGAACCTCCACTAGCACTTTGGAGACATCCATCATGACCATCATTCTCCTGGTTCTGGTGAACAGCACTGATGTCTGGAGCAGCCCAGGCCTCTTGGGTTACCATGAGATCAAAATGCCCTATCATTCTGCTGTTGATCCAGCTCCAGATAAGAAGTAGTTATTTTCTTGTTGCTTTGCTCCTCCATGTGATGCTGCTCAGCCCTTTCTAACAGCAAAGGTTGGGACCCCATCTTGTTTTTACTTAGGTTCAGCTGCATGGATAATTCATATGAAGTGCTCACTCTCAGTGCTGCTGCTGGAAAGGGACCTCTGACACCATTGGCCTGGCCCCACTCTGGAACTTGAACAGCATGTGCTTGTTTTTATGATGAGTGAAAGATGTCTTTCAGAGTTCTGCTGAAAGTTCTGCTGAGCTGCTCAGGGTTCAGAATTTTGTTTTCTGGAAATGGGCTTTCACAGTCAGATACTCCTCATGCATTGCAACAGGATGAAGCTATGAAAAATATGATTTAATTCTGATCTCTCTCCTGATGAGTCCAGTGGGAATTCTCACTTACTCAAACTTTAATGTTTTCCCTGTAAATTTCAGCAAAATCAGTAATTGGTCTGATAATTGAATTTTCAGATCATGTGTCAAAGGAATAATGGCATGCATGGGATAAGTAGCAGTCTGCCTCTTGAAGCCCAAACATCTGAAATGGAAAATTCTGCAGAATTTAGATAAAGATTTGAATATACTGCTGTGGAGCTAAGAATAGACATATTATTTATATCGTCAAAGGAAGCGGCAGAAATCACAGAGATCTTCAGAGACTAAAGATGCTCAGACAGTTATGCACAGGAATTGTGCTCATGGAGCTGACGCGGAAAGTTACTGACGTCTCAGCACAGGCACACTGCTCCCAGAGGGCCCCATGGACCAGGCAGCATTTCATGCAGAAGAGAAATGCCAGGCTTTTCTCTCCTGGAAGACACATTCAGGGTATCTTCCAAGTACCTAGGCAGAGAGTGGGGAGTACCGAGCCTGTGGCAGAGATGCCTTGTGCCCCACCAGGTGTTCCTCCCCTGCACAGAAATCCCTGCATGCTGCAGTGTGTCTCATGCTCCAATGGAGAGTCTAATTTCAGAGATTCATTAGTGATTTCCCATTGAGTTATTCTCGTGGTCCATCCCTTAGTAGGAGCTGATTTCTAACTAGATTGGAGAATAAATCAAACAGCTAGTGAGAAAAATTCAAAACATCCTTTCAATTAAAAATAAAATAAAATATAGGCTTCATAGCCATAACAGATGCCTGCATTTCTCTGAAGTTCACATACTTTAAGAACTGTGCCCCTCTCTCCTGGGACCAAGACAGCAACACTCAGTTTTTCCTGTACTTCAGATGCTTTCAAGCTTGGAAGCATTTCCAGAAGTACAATAAATGTCTGCTTTCAGTCCTTGTTTAATTATTTTTTATTTTCTCCCAAGTATGTTTCGTGTCTCTTCATTGACATTTTTCACCTTCTCCTCTAGTTCACTATCTCCCAAATTCAAGGTGACCATCTCCAACCCTGAATAAGATACAGATGGAGGGGTCCTGTTTCCTCTGTTTCCCAGTTTGTGGCTTTTCAGTGGCTTTGGTGAAACTGCTTGCTTGTGTTCACATTAAGATACAGGAGAGAAGAATGAGAGCCCATGGGCCCACTCCTGCTGGGTCTGTGTGATTCCTTCTTCCATCAAGCCAAGGCTACAGGGATGTGTGAGATGAAGGTTGGAGCGTGCCCATCCGCAGGGGTAGGAGACAGATGCTGGGTGGGAAGCACGGCTGCAGTCCGCTCCGAGAGGCTCAGGTGCCAGATGAAGGATCTGCTTTCCTGGGAGGAACAGGCAGTGCCAAGCACATGCTGTATCCAGGACTCTCCCCTGCAGAGGAGGGGAGCAGGGGCTGTTCTCACACTGCCTACGTGGGTGCCACCCACCTTTCCAAGGAACTGCAGTCAACACTTGCAAAGAAGGTGATCACTCATCGCTCTCATCAGCTTAGGTGTGGAGGGAGACATGATGTTCACACTAATTCAGACTTAATTTTTTTTCCTTTTTTTTTTTTGACATGAGATGTCTTATATGCCTTTGCCAATCCTATGTCCATCAGAGCCAGCTGGATGCTGGGGCTTCTCCTCAGTGCCATGACAAGAACTTACACTGGTTTTTTGCAAAACAAATGTGACAACAGATTTTGGCAGGTGTTTCTCCCCATGCCCTGTTTAGATAGTATTAGGTTCTCTCACTTGAGCAGTATCAGATGCTTTCACTTGAGTAATGACAAAATATTCTCTTGTGTTTTTTACCTTAAATTTTAATTTTAATTTTCCTCTCACTTCTGTTTAGGATCTAAGCATTGGTATTGCTATGTAGCAGAAATTAAGATATTCAAACTGTTCTGCTCAGCTTTTCACTGTCAAATATTCCAGCAGAACCACCTTCCCTGAAAATGGTAGATTTTGAAAAAATCTGCATTTTTACACAGAAAATTACTTCCAGGGAAATAAATAAAATTGGCTAGAGTACATGTGCTGGCATTAGCTCAGCTCCTTCCATCTCAGGGAAGGGGAGTTGTTTTAAAATTCAATCACTTGGATGTGCAGGAAAAAATGGCTCTGATTTGTTTTGATGATTAAAATGTCCAAAAATATCAGTTTCCTGTCCATCATTCAGAGCGTGTTTATGTCAGACAGCAAGATGAAGGAAAGTTTATCCTTGAACAGTAACAGAAGACCAAGAGAATGGCTACCTTCATCTGCCAGGGGCTACTTGCCACTGCTGGCCTTGGTGGTCATTTCCGCACTACAACCAACCACTGTGTCAAGGTTAAAGGCTTACAGAGTTGGGGACACACTCATCTGCAGACACAGAAATCTGTAGGTAATTCCTTATTAATAGCTCCTACTGCTGTAAAGACCAGGAATTCTGTGCTAACTGATCCATCAGGTTGGTTTTGCTGACAGCATTTAAGTAGCAAAATGCTGTCACTCTGATGGTGAACAACCCCAAGTAGCACTGTGGTTTTGCTGTGGGGATAGAAAGCACTCCTCGGCTTCATCCTTCACCATTACATCGATGATGTTACCTATATGTAACTGGGAAGAAAACATGGTCCATCTACTACATTTCAAGTGTGAGATGGGGAAAGAGAAGGGACTCTGTAGTGTTTTAACAGTTCAGAGCGTCCTCAAAGGGTGACAGCCATGCTGTAGGGCCAGGAGACCTCTTGGGCTGCTCAGGTTCCCTGGTCACTGCTGGTACCAGGCATTGTGAGAGGAAAAGAAAGGGTGGTTGTGTAGCTCTGGAATGCACATGGTGTGACTGTGAGATTGGCAACCCATTCTTCTCAAAGGTGCTGATGAAAATCTAGCCTGAGGGGAATTTGGAAAAGGTAGGTAAAGCTATGGAGAAGTAGGTGGCTTGCAAGCAATGACGAAGAAGTGGTGGAGGGAAAGGGTGCTCTCAACAGCAAATTACTTTCCAAAGTCATATGTGTATGATCACACTCTGGGCAGCACCAGGGATGTGTCTTCACCCAGAGCCAGCTCTTCCCCCATGCAGTTCACACAGCAACCATGCTTTTCCAAGAAAATGTCAGGGGAACATACTGCTGTGATGGCCTAAGTTGCGTTCATTCCTCATGCACTCCTGGGGAGCCTGGGAGAGATAAGCCCTCCTAAGTTAGTGGGCAGCACATACACAGGGAGCACTCCTGCATTCCCATGGGCACACACAGCCAGGCTCAGCAGTTGCCACACAAACACACCTCACATGAAGCCAAAGCACTGAACCCACCCTCCAGAACCCTGCAGGCTCACTGAAGGAATGGCAGTGGGAAAGGCAGATGAACAAGCGTTGACAAACTGACAGATGTTTCCAGTGGCAGCAAGTTGGACAGAGGTGTGGGATCCAGGAATCGTGTCTGTGGGTGAGCACACATCACAGTCAGGTGGGCTGGGGAGCAGGCCCTGTGCTCACAACCAGTAGCACAAGCAGCAAGTCTCAGCCTAAAGATGGTCTGTCAAATATTTTGGGCCCAGTCTGTGGAGAGATCTTTTGTCAGGTGATTACACAGCCGGTACTTCTCATCTGCTAATAAGAATCTGCTAATTTATGTTAGCAGAGCCACATAAATGGAGAGATTACTGTACCAAGGGGGCTCTTGCTCTGAGGGACTAAGGACTGCAGGATTCTGAAGGGTTGAGCAGATGTAAGAAAAGCACCTCTTGTTGTCTACCATAAGTCAAGGGCTCTATGCACTGGAGAGCATAATGTAGCAATTAGGGCTTCTGTTAGAAAATCAATACTCTGCTTTAAGGGACTTCTGACAAGCAATAACAGGAGATTAGCAGAGTACAGAGGGGCTCCTGACAGAGAGATATTCTCTTTAAGATGAAACTGTTGATAGGCAACCAAGTTAAAAGTTGGCAAGATACAGCTGATGTCTTCTCTTTCCCTTCACTCTCATCCTTCTAACCCTTTTAGCTTCTAACTGCACTCTAGATACTCTAAAACAACTCTCTAATCTGTAGAGGGAAAACTGCTCATTTTTTAAGGGTTAAACTAGGACAGTTTTAAACTAGGACAGTTACACAAGTTATCTGCCCCTGGTCAATTCAGTCAGGAACCTGACTGCTCCTCTCCAGACACCTGTTTGTCTGGAGGCAGCTTTGTGTCCTCTGAGCACAGAAGGACCCAAGTCATGGCTTTGAGACTAAGTATCTAAGTTTTAGACACTTTTCTTTGGGAGAGAAATAAGCTCAATCACCTCCACAATAAAGGCTTTTCTGGGCTCTGGCTCAATTGCTTGGGTGTTGCAGCAGTGTAGGAGGAACTTCTGGTTTTAGGGTTCCTGCAACTGAGAGCAGTAAGGAGCTCAGCCATGGAGGAGAGGGAAGCCCAAGAAGTGTGAAATCTAAGCCCTCATACTGCTTTTTAAAAAGTTCCTAAGTAGAAAATAGCAAACTGTACCATAAACTTGGAAGTTTGACCTTTGGGAATACCTCTGACTTTGACTTCTAAACACCTTTTTTGCCTCTTTGTAGCTTGTTTTTGCTCTTAATTATACTGTTCAGATCCTGCTTTGTGTATGTGCTGTTTCCCTGCTCACCTTCTGGAAATGTGAAGCTCACTTGCTACCCTAAGGCTGTTCAGCAACCCATTGATCATATCCAGCCACAAAACCTCGCCATCAGACAACCCCATGGTGGTGCCTAGTGAGCCAATGGTAAGTGCCAGAGGGAGCGTGCAGGAACGGCAGATTTCAATCTGCTGCGTCCTAACTTCAGGTGTTGTACAGTCTGAAAGCCCTTTTTACTCACTTAAACTTAATTGCACAAACCATTAAAGCTTCCACCCTTCCTCAGTGGCAGCTCTGGAACTGACCGATCCAAGCCCTAAGTGCTTCCCAGCCCTTCCAGTGATACAGAAGACAGTGGATTTGGATTCAGATATCAGAAGTTCCCAGCTGGCAAAACATAAAAGCTTGTAACTTTTAAAGTCTAGTAGGCTGCTCTCTTTCAATGCCTGTGTATGAAGGGTGTGAGGCTTGTTACTTGTTAGTACTGAGTCACTGGGATGCAGAACTTGGGCTGAAACACTGGGAAAGTTCACAGCTCCAAACTGACCTGACCCCTACAACTCGGGATGCCTGTGTAAGCAATATATGAAATGTAACTTTAAGGTCAGGTTCAAAACCTTGAGATTCCAGCAC